TAAATCCACTTGGGAGAGCTCTTAAGTGCTGATTGACCAGCTCATGAATGCGGTCCAAATGATCGCTCAAACGGTCGGAAAATTAATCAAGCCGGATGAGCAGAGTGCTATCATGGACGCGCATCGGTGCAAATAAAATTCTCAATTAATGCTTTAAAGTCGGCAGCAAAAGAATGAATAATAATTTCACAATTATTAATTGTATTTCCATTATTTTTTTATTTGCTGCGCGCTTTTTGGCCACACAATGCAATGGGTCTGGCAATGGCAATTCAATTTGTATTTTGTGAAAGTGATTGCGTAAACCGTGAAAAAGATATGGCAAAAACTCTGAACAAATTTACTACGCATGATGCACATTGTTATTATTAATATATTATTTTAAGGTAATGGACAAATGCGGCAATGGAAAAAATTTGCTATGCTTTTTCCCTAATGTGATTCAACATAAATTAAGGCATTCAGACCAACAATTGTGTTTTCGATGGGGCATTAATGACGCTGTGTTGACGCGATGAAATGCGCCTTGTAACGATAAGTTCGAGGCGAGTGCGTTAGTTGAACAAGCCGCTTAATTAGATATAATAACTCGGTTAACAGACCCACCAAAGGTCGTTCGTACAGACCGTTGTTTCTGTTAAAGATTACACAATGGGAAGGCAGACACCAATCCATCTTCTGGTCTACCAGATCTGTCCGTCTGTTCGACTGTCGGACATGGTCAAGGGTCAAGTCTCATAATTTGGGGCATAAGGAATTTATAAAGCTGAGGATGTCATGTTCCTGGAGAAAAATAAAAAGGAAGGACACCGCTCTAACCAAACATAAATTCCTTAGTGACCTATTACCCCCAGAAAACTATGACAGCCGACTGCCAAATGTGTCAAAAGTTCAAAGTCATCCGTCCGTTCCAGCGTCAAAAAAGGGTTGAGCTGTCCGACAAAGGAGACCGGCATAATATTAACACAGATGCGCATGAATTATTCGAGACTACGGTTGTACCACAACGCAAATAAAATCATTATTGGACAGCAAACAAAGGCAGGTTCACTTTTCATTCGTGCTTGGGCTCCGCTTCACTTCTGGGCCAACTCTGAGCCGGCTGCCTAGAAACATAACTTGACAGTGCACGCGACGAACTAAGGCGGGTGCCTTATCTTCGGCCAAAGCAATGTTATAGAATACTGACTGTATTAAAAATTCCGTAACAACTGAGGCGCTTCCAGTGCGAATGCGAAAAATGTTTATTAATAAATTCCCCCTGAACAAAGTCAAATAATACACTGCCATGATTTGGCGGCCTCACTTGAAATTCCCATGACGTGTGCTAGAAGGTACTGGGAGTTTGCGTTAGGGCCACAAGTCAGCGTCAAGCGATGACGTTGATGCCATTGCTGCAACTGGGAAGTCGGCGATGTAGTTCGGTTTCACCCCCACCAAAAGGGAAGCCAACCCAAATACATGGCAACCGACGTCAAAAAACTTTCAAATTCTTTTAAATTAACCTGTGCGCCTGGGCTCAAAAGCCTTGCGACCGACATCACGGAACCTACTTTTATTGGGTGGTCCGGTTTCGGAAAGGTCCCTGTTCCAGATATATTTCAAGGGAGAAATCGTTTGGCAACTATCAGTAAGAAGGCAAAGTTTTCGGAAAATATTAATTGGAATTTTATCACGCAAAACGGATTTGTTTTAGCGAAATGTTAATTAAAATTTTTATATCAAAGATAAAGAATTTAAAGTCCATGGACAATACCTATAAGCTAATAAGTTAACATTAGGTATTACGTTTCATAATCTCGATATTAAGGTACTTTTTAATTAAGTAAATATTATATTAATTACTGTTCAGCACAAAAATTTTAAAATCTGCTTAAAAACAATCGCCACTCGTATAGTAAAAGTTTGAAAAAAAAGATCAAGATTAGGGTTTTACGAGTAGAACGTTGTTCGGCAGTTGCAAAATGTTAAACAGGTTGCGCTTGAGGTAGGTTGCATCTTCGGTTGATTCATTAAAGTATCAATTATAGTTCGGAATTAGAAGGAAGCAAAATTTGTAATACATAAAACTGAAAAGCCATTATTTTATGAAACCTTATTTAAATTTGAATCTATTGAAGGTAACTTTTTGATAAAATCAAACCAAAAAGAATACGAATACGAATCCGTGTCCGAGATTCGTACTTTTACTAAGTAAAACGGCTTTGAAGGCATTGGGAAGAACTTTTGCTGCTCAACTTCCATGGGGGCAACAATTTTCGCTTTCTTAATTAAAAGCAATCTCATTTATTAGTTTAGCACACACACAAACACACTGGTAGAAGACGGAGAGGTGAAACGGACAGAAATACTGGCTGGAGATACAGATGCAGAATCTAAGCCAAACCCATTTAGATGGCTATGTGCTAGCTCTATAATTGGCGAAAATTATTTAATTATTATTAAGTGCTGAATCCTCCAAGCAGACCCAGGACAGGACGAGTTTTCCCGAAGAACTTTGGCTGGCACTCAACTCGGCATCGCGGGGAATAGAATTGAATGTAATGGGATGGGAAGGGATGGGAGGGGATGGGATGGGATGCAACGATGGCTTGACTTGGCTCTGGAGTTTTGTTTTTCCAGAATCCTTTGATTTATCCTCGCTTGCGCAAACTTCTGATGCCTTGCCTATTAATTTCAGTTGCAATTTCTTCGGGCCTGACTTTGTTTTTGCTACAGTGCAACTGCCATAATTAGGCTTAGATCCAATTTGGTAATCGTATATATGGAAAGCCAGGCGCACATTTACAATGATGATGTGTGGCCGCCTCTCTTGGGATTTGCGTTTTTGGGCTTACCCCTTATCGCCGAGTTGCAAGTAATTAAGTTTCGGCGCACATTGTTGTTGACAGATGAGCAGCTGCACCGCTCCGTTTGTTAACTTGAATAATTAAAAAGCAGCAGCTGTTATTGGCGATGGCGTGCTCTTCTGCCATGAGTTTGTTATGTGCAAGTTTATCAGCTGCTTATGCAACAGCAGCAATATTGGTCCATTCCCAGGGGTCCATTGCCCCGGATACCAATATATGAAATATTAATTGACAATACGCAAGCATCCATTGGTGCACCTTTCGTTCTGGCTCCTAGTTCCGCAAGAAGACAGGCAGCAACTCCTTAATTGGGCCACGTCCAAAGGAAGTGGGTTGGAAAACAACGGGAAGCAAACCCATCTATAATTTCACATTCAGTCACATCAGCAACAGCCGTGGAGATCTCCGTTGTTGCAACGCAATCTCTTAGCTGCCAAGCCAGAAACTTAGTCAGAGCCGTCTGAAAAGCAAAAGCAAAGACCACAGCCAGAGTTAAAGCCAAAGCAATAGGCTGAGCCATGGAGCTACGCTGCTTTATTTATTTAACCGCAACAGAAACAGAAACCGCAATAAGAACAACGGCAACTGCAGTAACTGCACTAATCTCAGTCGGGCAGTGGCACTAGTACAGCCCAGTAATTGAGCGGCTGAAAGGTTGAGCGGGTGAAATGCTGGGTAGAAAGTAACTCAAACTATTCTGCGCTTCGCTTGGCGGCTGTCAGCTTAAGTCTCTACTAACCAGGCCCAAGCCCAATAGACAGCTGCTGGAGCCGGAGTAGTGGGAATTGGGGACTTGGTCTGGCGGCTAAAGATTGGGGATGGGAATCTGCTAATGTTTGCATAAATATAATACAGATTGCGGCATTGTTCGCCCTTCTTTTCTGGGCTCACAACTGTTGCTAGTATTTCTGCTGCATGTGGCATAATCACAGGCCAGCGTCAAGTGAGTTTATGTTTGTTATACCCGTTACTCGTAGAGTAAAAGGGTATACTAGATTCGTTGAAAAGTATGTAACAGATAGAAGGAAGCGTTTCAGACTCTATAAAGTACATATATTCTTGATCAGGATCAATAGCGAAGTCGATTGAGCCATGTCCGTCTGTCCGTCCGTCCGTCCGTCCGTATGAACGCTGAGATCTCAGAAACTATAGCAGATACAAAGTTAACTTAAAGATCTAGAAAATTAAGCTTAAGAATTCGTATTTTACGGTTGCCACTGCAACTTCCTACGAGTTTAAATCCGGCCAGGCCCACTCTAACGCCCACAAACCGAGGAAAAATGTGGCGTCTATAATAATATTATGAATGCCATCGTTTAACGTTGTATAACTTATTTCTGTTAATATCTATCGATTTACCAAAGATTTTTCAAATCGGAACATTATTTCGCTTACTCGACAATAGGTGGCGCTTGGGCAATATCCACTAGCAGAATGAATATTTTAAAATTGTGTCAAACAGTAACGGGTATCTTATAGTCGCAAAACTCGACTATAGTGTTTCCTCTTGTTTTATGTTTGGAATGCCGAGTTTTTAGTAGTTCATTAAAATAACAGCGCCTCGCCTCGCCGTCTTTCCATTGGCTGGGATTCCGGGTACTGGTGCTGTGACTGGTACTAAGCAGGGGGAAGAGTTCCCTTCTTTTGACCAAATGCACTGCCCCATGTAATCTTGACCATATGTAGCTGAGGCATTTTAACTTGTTTTTAGTTACACGTGTGTGGCTGCCAATCCTTGGTATGTGTGGTGTACTTGTTTCATCTGCTCTTGATGGTGTTGCCGGTCCGATGCTGTTACCGATTCTGCCTCTACTCCCCTTATCACACTACTCCTTAATTAAAGACAAGTTTAAACTTCACTCTTCCGGGACTCTGCTCCAGAGTCCCCAATAAGGCTCACCAATCCTATCTGAACCATTTAACACTTTTCGACGGTCAGTGGATTAAATATGAATATCGGAGAACACTCTCGATGGGGATAAATAATTAAAAAATTGCAAACATTTTGTGGTAATCCTCTTTGTTGCCACGTCGCTACGGATGCATGAGCAAGGGCAGCGACAATAGCAGGAGCCCACCCCGATGACTGTTGTTCTTATAGTTGTTTCGACAGTTTAAGCTAAGTTAATCCCAGCTGAACACAAGGCTTACCTGATGATGGAACTGCTACGTGTTAGAGGGAACGTCGCTCGGAACCAAAAACAAACAAATTCATAAGCAATGCGACAAGGACAGCCGGCAGGATTTTCGCGCGCACTGCATATGAATATGAAAACGAATATATATATGGGTCGGGATCCGAACCTGGTTCTGATTCCAAATCTGAGCCGTGCCACACGACGTGTCTGTGGCTTTCTTGTTAAGCAGAATTCAATTTAACTGTGATTCAACTCTGTAATTTGTTTTAACTCTTTCAATAGTTGGCGATTTAATTAATCATTCGAATCACGGCTCATTGCACGCACAACTTTTATACTGGGATGCTGGGATTATATCCTTGAGTTTGCTGTATTTGTGTCGGTGTCTACGGTGGATTGGTTGATGGGTTTTCGGATTGGTTAGCACTCGTTCTTCTGCAGCAACGTCGCACCAGACGATGTAAGCGCTCGCAGTAAACTGATCGTTGAGCTGGCGCTTCCAAAAGTCTTTTAAACATGTTGCCAAGAAAGTCCAAGAAGTGGGCCCGAAAGAAAAGTAGACGATTCGAACCAAAGAGCCAGCACACACACACACATTACGGCCCCAAATGGTCAAGATGACGTGAAAGAGCGGAGAGAGCCCCCAGAAAGAGAGATCGCGAGCGGATTTGCCTTTGCCGGCTGCGCATGCGCACAAGTTTCTTGCTCTTAGCCAAGAGAATTGGGACTGCGGCAGATGAGTCCGCAGTGCGGAGTTGCAGTCAAACAAGCCGACCGAATAATTTCAGTGAGAAGGTTGAAGAAAGAATAAAGCCAAAGCCATAAGTGGAAAAATGGAAGTAAGTTCAGGTGTCAACTGAGCCCTCAACGATTGAAAATCTGTTATCTGATGACGCCACAAAATCCATTGACCCGCACAAATTAATTAAGATTACAAAAGCCAAAAAGCTTGTGCAATTCCTGGCATGCAAACGGCTGCGACCTTTGACATCCAGACACGCGGTTGTATCCCTCGCAGGCATCTTAAATATCAACTGCATTATCGAACATTGAGCAATGGACTTGGCCATATAGATGGACAATTGTTAAACGAAAGCACAGTCGGTGGCAGCAGCATAATTGGGCCTGGGGGAAATCTAGAACCCATAACAACTGCAATCCAAACGACCGGGAAACTGCCGTCTGTGGAGCACTTTCTTTGCTGTTTTCAATTTAATGCATAGTTACAGAAAGAGCGCACACACACGCTCTTGGAAAAGCGCACACATCTCATTCTCAACGCAACTGTGCCATGCTTATCCTGGTTGGTGCTGAAATTGTTGTTGTTTGTACTACGACGACAATAAAGCCCATATGAAAAAGAGTTCGGCAAGTCTCCTTCGGATAGAGATAGAGATAGAGATAGAGATAGAGATAGAGATACTCTCCAAAGTTACAGATACCGATACACACAGCCGAAGTCGTACGGATGGGAAAGCGAATGGGTTGCTTTGCTAAATTACTAGAAACTTAAGCGCATCTGCGGTGAATTCAATTAAAGAATTTACCGTCTATGTTGATTTTATTTTGCCTCTGAAAATAAGCAACATTGAGTATGTTTCTGCTTCTGGTGTTGCTTTTGCTGCTTAGATTTGCAGCATTTTGCTAAATGAAATGTGGGTATGACTGACTTGCTGTGTGAATATCAACACTTTCTTTGTCTTCTGCTGTTTTTGAGTTTACCGAATATATGAAGTGTTATGCAAATATTTGCGTATCAAGGTTTTTCTGGCTTCCTTCCAGCTCCAGATTTGAACATTTGCTTAAAAGCTGAGCTCTCATTGAAGTTTCTACACATTTTGCATAGAGATTTCACATGACTACATGACTTTGTCCGGAGCAATTTCATATACTTTCAATTCTATCGCTTTTCTCCTTTATCATGTAATTAAAAAGCGTCAACAAGTCAAGAGCTCAATTAATTTTTATAAGCTATTAAATATAAAACTAATGCTGAATTGCATCTGCAAGCTGACTTATTACACTGTGACAGTCAGAAAACTGTAGAAACAGAAACAAGTTGCTCTGTTGCTGCCAGCATTACCCCGACCAAAATTATATTGTATACTATTTGGCCGTCTTACCAACGTCTTTGCGAGCCACAGAACACCAGACAGGTGGTCAAGTAGAAAAATTCGTTGTTTTGAATTTATTCTCACTGACTTCGCAGCCAGGCAATGTCACAAGTCTTAAATATGCGGGTTTTCATCTTAAACGAAAACGAAATGCTCTTTGAAGTTTTAAATTAGTATGGTCGATAGTTGTCCTTCTTAAATGATCTTATTAATTAAATACCAAGACTTTCATTTTAATAATTTAATCACTTGTTCACCTTGCTTATAAAGAGATTTATTGGGCCTGGCTTGAACATCCTTTCCTTGCAATAATACTTAAAATATTTTTCTATTTTTCTACGCTTCAGAAGATTCCCAGAAAGCGGTGCACATTGATGGTGGGCAGTTTAGGAAAAACTCCATTTACAAATCATCAATTATTTTATCATTTATCAAGAGACTGCAAAAACAGAACCGGCGACACTCGCATTCAAATATTGCGTTCTTCGGCAATCGTTGGCTAATGATGAGAACTACTGGTTGATGCTGTTATGCCGCCAATGGTATATCTCTGCCGCGGCGGACTGTGCTACCGCGTCTCGTGTTACATACTGCCCTGGAGGAGGGTTCAGCTACATTACACCCGCCCGCAGTGGCCGAATGTGCACTAAAAAAATAAATGGCAAATCAAAACATTTTTTTTTTTATTTTAATCAAAAGAAAAGTTCAACTCTATACCTTGTTCTAACCGCCCTTCAAGACGGACTTAATTACTAAAAGCAAACTTGAAAATATAGGCATATATTAATTTTTTCAAGTGATGTTTGTCAGATGGCCTTTTAGCTCTCGACACTTGGGTTTGGCTCGTGGATTTTGACATTTTCAATTGTCACTAGCTATTTGCAGCCTTTTGATGGTGCTGCCCTCAACCGATGCCACTGATGTAGCTGTTGATTTTTGGTTAATTTTTCATTTTGACATTTCCATTTGTCAATAAAAACAGGTTAGCCAGACCATTGTCCTCGGCCTGGTGGCTGCTGCATTCGGAGGGACTATTGGTAATTGGATTTCTAGCCATAGAGGCGTAAAGAGGAGTTGGTGTATATTTAAAATGCATTACTGATTTGGTTTGATTCGGTTGTTTGGGTTTTCGCAGGCACCGCACTCTCGAATGATCAAATGAATCTTGAGTGCGGAATCAATTATCCATTTTTAGAAGTTTCGCTAGGTATGAGTACCCACAGAGCCTACATGCTGGGTCAGCCGAAAAGGCAAAGACCTAAGATGTGCAGGAGTAGCTGGAGGAGTCATCTCATCCGCAGCACCCCGTGTGTAATGAGATGCCATCTACAGAGCAGGAAGTCGACCAGGAAAACTGTCAGTTGGTCTTTCGTATAAATTCGCTTACGTTAAATGCTGGTTAAACTGCAACAGGAAACTTCGGCACACAACATCATTTGCTGAGTTAAATTCCTGCAAGAATGCGCGTTTCAGTAGAAGTAAAATGCACACGCTTCGACGATGCTGCACTCCATTGCAATCCATTCCAGATGTAGACAAATGGAGATGCTGACAGCAAGAGTCTGAAAAGACCGCACAAGTGGAGCCGAGTGCTCTTTGATAATCGGGTTAACAATCTCCGCCCGGGGCAATCGTTAGAGCAGCCTCTCTGTCTACTTACGTTTCGATGATGTTAAAGACACCTCTGTCGCTGCTGCTGCACATGCGTCTATCGTTTTGGGCTTCCATGATGCATCTTGAATCCATAATATTGGTAATATGTTCTAGTTTCAAATCAATAGCACTGCGTACACTTATTCCGTGTTCTCGCATAATCAGCAGAAGTGCAGCAGATATTTTTAGTCAGGATCAACAGGCAAATTGATCCTTGTCGGTCTGCAAAGATATATGAGAGCTATAAATCAATAAACCATGCAAGCTCTTTGGTTAATATTAAAAAAATAGAAGGGGCTTATAGGATTTTAATTTTTGTTTGTTTAATTTCGTTTTTTGTTTCAGTGGACTCTGCAGTGTAGGTATAACAAAATAATGGTAAAATCAGCAAAAATTTTTAACTGTCTTATTGAACCTCGATTTATTTGAGAACACGCCTGGAAAACCCCTACCCCTCAACATACAGTTAATAAGCAGAGATTAATATGCAGCCACGCACGGCGAGCACGCATTTTACCTTTCGATGATGGAACGTTGCGTGTTTGATTATGGGCCTCAAATGCATCGCTGGAAAAATAACATTTTGTTTCCACGTTACATTCAAAAAATCTACACTATTAGTTTTGTAATATTGATATTAAATATAAAGATTATTTCAAATTTTGTTTCACGTATTTATATAGATGTTTGAGCGCATTTTTAACCGCAATCCCCTGAATGCAGAGAAACAGAAGGCACAGAACAGAAAGTTGTGAGGATGGGTGGGGTACCGAGTTGCGGCCAGTTTGGGGCATCCAGAAACTTTTCGCTTCTAAAGTGTAAAATACTGGATACTTTAGACAAGTTAAAATGCACACAAATAATTGCTAACTTTTTTCGAGTTCGTATAGCAGAGAGGAAGCATAAAGCAATTAATGTTTAATTGATATAATTTTAATACAAGAGAGATAACAAAATGATTTAATCCATACTTTTTGCATAGCATTTGGGCATGGGAGATTAATCGTATTTGCTTTAAGATTATTGATTTATGGCATTTAGATAAGTATTTCGAGCTTCTGGCGTAAAAGTATTAGGGCCGAGCAATCAGCCCGAGGACCGAGCAAGAGCAAAGCCAACTGAGAGAACTGTTTCCAATGGAATTCAAATAATTATAAAGATTAAACCAAGGGCTTTAACAACGCCGCAGATATTACATCGAAATAATATGCTTAGTATAATGGTCAAAAACCTCCTGACCAATAAATCAAATTTGCCGTTTTGCCAAACTATAATTTAAATGCTATAGGCACGATAGAAGCCATTGTTGTCCGCCTATAGCAACAACATCAGTAGTCAGAGCAGAACGATAAAGACCAACAACATTCAAAATAATCGCTCGTAAATGCCTAGTGACAATAAAATTGATGATAAACCAAATTCAATAGTTGAACATTTCCATTTCCAGTTTGTCAACAGCACCAACAGAATCAACAGCAAAACAATATAATACAAACCGAATTTGCCAAGTCTGCTAGACGATGGTCGTCGTGAACATTAAATGAAATTAAACTGGGAATTGCTTATTTGCACATCCTTAATGTGTTCCACCACGATTACGATTTATGTAAGTTTTGAGTACTTCAATATTTACCGATTTTGATGGAATCCCACTAAACTAAATTTATACATATTTATATAGTTTGTTCGTGTTAACTTACTTTGCAATAACGTTAAAATAA